CTGTAAATATCTATGAATTTCTATACAGTGTAAACGTTGTTGATTGTGGGACTTATTAGGTTTTTGTAAAAATTATTTTATATTTACACAAGAAGGGAAACTGGCCTGCTGTGCCACTGCAAAATACCTTCTCCTTCCCCACGACCAGCTCCCTGACAGAACTCTGTCTTCTGGCCTTTAAGAACACCCTGGGAGGAATCATCTGTTGGGACTGGCCACTGGATCTAAAAGCATGAGTGTCTACTGCTTGGAGTAACTGATCCATAAACTTCCAGACAAAGTCTATCCACTAGACTGGGACAAAAGGCCAGGCTCTCTCGGCTCTCTCGGTGTGAGTTATGGGGGCTTGACAGTTTGTTATGGTATTATTATGAAATACAGCCTCTCTCCGACTTACGAACTGGTTATGGACCAAGCAATTGGTCGTAACTCGGTTTGTTCGTAAGTTGGACCCCATAGAGTTACATGCAACCGTGCTGTTCGTAAGTGCGGATCGCGTTCATAATTCGGGGTCTGCCATTTACGACAGCTTCGGTCATAACCAGGGCTTGACAAATAATGCAAATAATTCAGAAGTGCCGGGTTTGGGCGATCTGCGCATGCGCAAAACGATCTGCGCGTGCGCAGATAGCCGGACAGCGCGGCTGGCGAGTGGGGCTCGCCGCGGTTGGGCGAACTCTGGTTGTAAATCGACCGTTCGCAACTCGGGGACTGGCTGTAGTTGTTTCATGAATGGAATGCTACTGTGTGGATGTAGACTCCACCACTGCCAGTCAAGGTGCAGTATGTCTCTACCGGGGATAATAGTCATTAACATTAACAACTGGGATCATACCAAGGCGATTGCCTGAGCAAGGAATCCAAGTTTCTTCGCAGAGGACATGTGATGTGGGGAGTGAAAAATCATCAACAAAAAGCCAGGTGGCGGCAGCAGAATACATACGCTCTGGAGACACACAGAAAGTTTTGGACAAGAGAAGAAGATGGACAGGCTTTCGCAGCAAGGATGTCCAGTTTAACAGGAGCATAGACCAGTCAAGGTCAGAAAAAGGTAGCTGATCTACAACAGCCCTGTGATTCTGAAGTGAAACCACATGCTGAAAGGGGAAGGAACCAGGGGACCACAGAGGGCTCTGCCCAACCCCAAAGACCTCTGCAGAGTGGCAAGAAAACAAAGTTCATTATGTTCATTATTTCATCTCAGTCTTTGTATTTCTCATGTTGCCGAGCAAAGGGTAAACTGTGTTTAGAACCCTGTGCACAGTCTGCTTGTGTGCCTGTAAGCTTTCACTGTCATATGGCCTTGAAAAGGCAGACTGTTAACCCAGAATACCTACATGGTTGGAATTCTGGGAGAGGGTTATGTTTACCCTAAAGGGATGGACCCCAAGCACAAGGGCCTGAGAAGTGGCCATCCAAAGGCAGCCAGATGTGACAGGATAAATGCAGGGCTCTGCGAGGAAATTAATATAACTTCAGGCTGTGTTCCCTATAAAGCTGAGCACTTGGGCAGCCACCCAGGAGAAATTCAAATACTGCCCAGCTAATTAGCAGAGCACCCACTGCCAGCAGCATGTGTTTCTACTGGTGGTACACATCCGCACATGCTCAGGGCACATAACATTTATTCCACACATGGATGGAAAAAATTAGAGGGAACACTCCTCTAACCCTCATGTGAGGCTAAGAAGTGTGCAGGTATCTTGTAGGACTTGTGTATGGAGCCCTGTGTGAATCCATGAAAAGGAGTGGGGTGCCCCAGAACTGGCTGCCTGTGCAGGAAGAAGAAGATCCATGCCTAGTGAAGGACCCCACAGAGAGCTAGTAGAGCTTGTTCTATCTTGTATTCACTTGAGTAATGCACGTAGTTTGAATTTCATTGCAAGCTGGTTTCCTCTGATAAATCTGTATTCAGGAAACTTCCTGTCGCTACCAAAAATAATATTCTGTGTCTAATTCACCAGAAAGGCTCTACAGGAGATTGAACAAGTTGTTCTAATTGAGCAGGTAAATCTGCATGTTAAAATGCTCGTTATGAAGCCAGTAGATTCAAATGCCCCCTGAAGACTCTGTCCCAGTCTATCCATTACATATAGATCTAAACTATTTTTGAAAAGTCATGTTATCATAGAATGCCCAGAGTCCGCACCCCTCCTGCCACCACCTGGCTTCTTTGTTGATGATTTCCCTTTCTCCATGTCACATGCCCTCTGCAGAGAAACTTGGTCAAACTGGTTTCCTTGTTCAGGCAATCTCCTCAGCGTAACTGATATTTGGTCTGAGCACACTTGTGAATGAATACATGAAAGGGCTCCCTTAACACCAATCCCATCTATTGTGTTTTGACATACGTGGAGCTGGGGCTCTTCATAACCATATGAACAGACTCAATACCTATGCGTAGTAGCTAATTTTAAAACCGGCATGGCAGCATATCTGTTTTTCTCTCCCTCATTTTTCAGAATGCCAAAGCAGTTAGATCTCGTTATGGAGCAATCGCTTTCTCCAATTCTTTCCGCCTCACTTTTGTTTAATCGAACATATTTCTTTCTCTTTCTCTTCCGTGTTCCCAGACAGAGATCTTATATACCAACCGTAGCCCGGAGCAAATATTTTCTTGTCAAGTTATAAAAACCACCTCCAAATGGGGCTTTTTAATGGAAATGCTGCTAGTGCTTTGTCTGTATTGCTGAGAACAGGGATGGTGTTACCATAGGAAACCCAGAGACAGGTACAGAAGTTGACATGAGTGATGGGAAGGCAGAGAGATGGGCAGAGAGATTCAGAGGCAGAGACAAGAAGAGCAGGACAGACCCACAGAATGCAAGAAAGAAAATGATGTGCTACCAAATGAATAGCATTTAATAAGTCAGAAGGCACTATTATGATTTTTATGATGCTGCTATAAAACCTGAAGAAGCAATTAGGCCGAGCACATAAATTCTGCAGCTGTATTTTCCTTTTACACCAAACTACTCAATGGGCTGATACAGAGGAGGTTGTACCATTGCCATTATGCGCCAGGTGTATTATTCTTTCCAGTCCTCAAAGATCAAAGTCACTGTTCTATAAACTATGGAAGATCAATGAACAATTAACACCTCCCCCCCCCCCCCCCCCCCCAACACCTTGAATGGTCAAAACGAACAACACACACACCCCCCCCCCCCCCCCCCCCCACACCATCATCTGAGATGTCAAGACTTCTAGTCTCTGAAGTCTCAGTTTTCATCATCTTCTGGCTCAGTTTTGAAAGGGCTCAGTGCCTGGTTTTTCAGAGCTGCTGAGCGCCGTCAGCTCCCATTGACTTCAGCTGGAGTTGTGGGTGGTTAGCTTCTCTGAAAATTTTCTCCTACAGGTGCTGAGTGCACTCAGATGCCCCTGGTCCTGATCATGTGAGGTGCTCACCTATCAACAGCCAATAACAGCAACAAGATAGTGCAGAGTGAAATAGGGTTGCCAGGTGTCCGGTTTTAAAGCAGACAGTCCAGTATTTGAGCTTTCTATTTGGGAAATAAATTGAGAAAATATAAAAGAGAAAATATACGTATTTTCTAAATCAGATGTAATGTAGATTGCGATGTCATGTCAGGTGTGTCTGGTATTTTTGTTGAAACCATCTGGCAACCGTAGAGTGGAATGATAGAGAGAAAGCATTGTGGAGCAAGAGGCATGTGGGCCTGAGTTCTAATCCTAGCTCTCCCCTTAGTTTGCTGTGTTGCCTTAGGCAAGACACTTAACCCTGCCTTAGCTTCCCATTTGTAAAATGTGGATAACTATTTACCTAGCTTCCTCTCAGAGGAGTTATGAGATTTATTTAGACTGGTTTTATGTTGGGTGTGCCAGTTAAATTAACTGGATTTCAAATTGAATTAGTTAAACTAGTGCAGACTCCTAATGTAAACGTACATTTCAGAGGGGTAGCCATCTTAGTCTGTAACTTTAAAAAGTGTGGTCCTGTAGCACCTTAGAGCCTAACCAAAACATATACAGAACCATGAGCTTTTGTGGGTAAAATCTACTTCATCAGATGAGCTGAAGTGGAAATAAAAGAAACCAAGATGTGTATGTGTGTGTATATATATATAACAGTAGAAGAATTACCTGATGGAGCCATATTAATGAGGCTAATTATTTGGGCTAGATGTGTCCCATATGTAGCTTTTGATGTCGAAATGTAGATGTTAAAGCATGATTCTGTATATTTTGGTTAGTCTCTAAGGTGCCACAGGACTAATCATCACACTGTCACCCTCACTTAATTAAGTAATAATGGACCTAAGCTAGCCCCTCTTAAACAGAGTTAAGTGTGTCTTGTCTACATTAAAGGAGACTGATTTTTAATTCATTTTGGTTTAACTTATGAAACTTTTGTAACATAAAATACATAGTTGGAGTCAGCTTACCTTAAGATAAGCTTGGCGGTGTCCGCATAGCAAGAGGCCAATGGGAGCAATGCTCCCATCAGCTTCCCTTACTCCTTGCAAGAGCAGGAGTACCGGATGCCAGCAATGGCACCCTCTGAGTTTGATTTAGCGAGTCTTAACTAGACTTGTTAAATCAAACTCCAGAAGATGGATCACAACAGCTTCGAAATTCCACGGAGTGAAGACAAGGCCTAAGAGAAACACAAGCTCACAGCTAATGGCCATGTCATTTTGAATATGAGAAGTGTTGTATAAGTGCTCAGTACCATTATGTGTTCCAAAACTGTAAAGGCTCCAACACAATTTATAGTAAAAAGACTTTGGTGTCGATAGTCAATAGCTATTGAGTGTGCTAAAATAAAGGATAAGAGTCTGCATGTTGCAAAGCCATCCTCTCGGCTGTTTTGGGTAGCATTTGAAAGAGTTAAGCCTAAAGCGGAATGTCTTGGGAATGTTGGCAGACCAGAGCGAGAGCTGCTTTTTTTTCCCTCTGGATGGAATCCCAGCACTTTGAAAGCTAAGTGATGACTTTGGATCTAAGTATGTTTCTTGGGTCCACTGCAGAGAGCTGGGAAGTGAGATACAAAGTAACCAAGAAGTCTTTTTGTGAGGGAGGTCTGATTCCCTGCCTACCCCAGGACGGATATTTTTACCTTGTCCCTGGGTGCAGCAGAATTTGATTTGAGGAGATACACATGGATCCTTGAAAGAAACAATTTCCTTAAGGAGGGGAAAGAAACATCCCAACCGGTTTATTTTGGCTGCCGCTCTTTCTCCTTTGATGGAAATCGTTGTGACACTTGAACCTTGCATTTCATAAGGAATCTAGGAATTAGCTAAGTGCCTTTGATAGGGAGTGCAGGGTCTTTCATGAGACGAGCTGGCATGGCTGCTGTAATCTTTGGCTTTGAGGATCTGCTGTACAGTTGGGACAGTCTGGTGTGGAACTTGACTTCACGAGCTCTGAGGACTTGCCGGTTTGGAAATCTGCGGATCCTGCAGCTGATGCTGAAGCCATGGTGCATTTCCAGAGCTGTTTACCAGGTAGGTAAAACACTGGGTCAAATCCTGAGACCTTGACTCAGTCCCTAAGTGGGAACATTTCCCACTGGAATCATACGAGACCCAGTCCTGCAAAGTCCTGAATACCCAGAGCTCCCCATTAACATCAATGGGACTTGAGGCTACTGACCACAAATTGTAGGGAGAGGTGGGGACAGTTAAGCATGGTTTGAGATCCATGGAAGTAGGGACTGAGTCAAAACCAAGGATCAAATTCTGCTAATCCTAAACTGAGTAGCATCTGACTACATATGTAAGGTAGGAAAATTCAGCAGTGTAACTGGGCTTGTTTAGTTTGGAAAAAAGAAGATTAAGGGGGGACATGATAGCGGTTTTCAAATATCTAAAAGGGTGTCACAAGGAGGAAGGAGAAAATTTGTTCCTCTTGGTTTCTGAGGACAGGACAAGGAGTAATGGGCTTAAAGTGCAGCAGGGGAGGTTTAGATTGGACATTAGGAAAAAATTCCTAACTGTCAGGGTGGTCAAATATTGGAATAAATTGCCAAGGGAGGTGGTGGAATCTCCCTCTCTGGAGATATTTAAGAACAGGTTAGATAGACATCTGTCAGGGATGGTGTAGGTGGAGCTTGGTCCTGCCTTGAGGGCGGGGGGCTGGACTCGATGACCTCTTGAGGTCCCTTCCAGTCCTATTATTCTATGATTCTATGATTCTATGAATCACAGGGCTGCACTCTATTGTATCATTTTTCCACATAAAACTTTATTCACCGGGGGGCAGGACTCTGCCAACCTTATGCCTGATTAGTACCACCCTACTCCTGACTGGCCAAGCAAGGAGTAAGGAATTACTCTGCATGAATACCGCTGCTGAATCAAGCCCAGAAGAGCTATCATTTGCATTCAGAAAACAGTTAAAAATTGCCTTTACAATGTAACTGAATTAAACAGTGGAAGTCCTATGTACTAATCTTTGCAAAACTCTACTCCTCTGCTCACCTGAAATAATACTGGCTTTCATTGGATCAGTGTATAAAATACCACTGGAGTTTTTTCTCATCATTAGGGTAAGGGTGGACAAATAGATTTTGTGCCTTGGCTAGGGAATTTTCCTGGCAGTTGTTCAAGGCTGCACTCATCAATGAAGGGAAAAGCTAACCAACTGAGGCAGGGTGTTCAGGGTTGTCACTGGTTGCACTGCATAACTGAACTGCCCGTAGATATTGGATTGATGGCTCCACATGTGTGTTTGGAAAAGACATTTTTTGCCACACTCATTCCCTCGGTATGTGCCTTCTCTGCTTGCTAGGAGTCACAATGTTCAGCAAAGAGGTGTATAATGGACCTGCTTGGAAGCCACTGAAATCACTGGAATTCTTTCCATACATTTCAGCAACCTTTGGCTTATTCCCACTACGAACTATCTGGAATGCTTTGGTCCCCCCTAACTTGATCAGCAGCTTTGCAGCATTGTTTGGTTGGAATACAGCAGACACAGGCAGCTTTTTTTTTTTTTTAAAGACCAATTTGACCAATTTGCATCCCCAGTCTTTCTTTTTTAACCCCTGGGATTTGCTGATTGTATCACTTGCATGAGAGACAGCTTCTGAAAGCTGCATGATAATTTATTGCAATGAACGAATGCACACTCCGTGTGACTAAAGCCAAATAGTCTGGCTGCATTCTGGTCTCTCTTATACTAATGTAAAACCCCAGTCTAGAATAGAGTCTGCCATGTGCTCTGTGTAATACAAAGTAGAATGTGGCTGCAGCAGCATAGGAAGGAGTTGTGCTTCTCAAAGGCATAGTTCCCTTCCTGTTAATCCCTGCTCTGGGTGGGTACTTAGCAGAAATAGTTGCTGGCATATAGAGGCACCAAAATACATTCCCCCTCATGCTGACTCAGTTATGCTCGCTCCTTTATGCCGCTGCATGGGTGCCTAATTCAAGTCACTGATCTAGCCCTGTGTAACTCTTTCAAAGTCTATGATTTTACTGCAGGATTTGCCCTGCTGTCAGCTGTGAGCCTGGCTCACCATGTTCAACTGAATTGCTTCTGCTACACTGTGCACAATCAGTAACTCTACCATACATTGATGTCAGGGACCCCATTCATTCATCAGGACGGTCAGAGAAATGGCATGGCCAAACACTGGTGCATGCATTTTAAAAAAAGACGTTGATTAGGAATGATTCCCCAGAGCGGAACAGAAATAGAACCAACCTGGACCATTGCCCATTCCTCAGAGTGAACTTCTAAATCTTCTTGGAGCTTCGATACAACCCACATCTCCTTATTTTGTTTCCTTCGATCATGTCTTACTTTCAAGCTCTTCTGCAGCTCCCAATTGCAGAGCAGCATTGAAACGGAAGTGCCAAAATGCTGACAGAGAGGCTGCTGCAGGGGAGGCTAATTTGGAGAGGCACTGAGCATCCTCAACTCCACCAATGTCAGGGGAGGAGGGGGAGCGTGAGAGAGCTCAGCATTTCACAGGATTGGGCCCTCGAGATTTCTAAGTAGTCTGTTCTCATGAGATTTCTAGCCTAGGGTCACAGGCAAGGATTCAAGGGAGGTACAAATAAGCAACTGATTTTAGGAGACAGGCCTCACAGCCAATCCCAGTTCCGGCAAGACACATTGTGTAACCTTGGGAAAGTTGCTTCTCTTTGGGAAAGTCCAGGCCTCAGTTTCCCCACTATAAAATGGCCACCAGACCCCTTGAGATCTACCCTAAACCTGAGTGCATGTAGATTCCCAGAAACTTGCAGAAAGGGTACAGGAAGAGGTAGGCAAATCCAGCCTGTTCCAGTTGGGAAAAATATTGAAATCTGGGGGAAAGAGGTGTTAATGGGCAAGTACCCATCCATGGTCAGAGTTAAGGTTGTGGGGTGTTTTCTGTGGTTGCACTGGTGGTAGAAGAGTTCTTTGGGTGGAGGGGTGGAGGTATGTGCTATTGATTATCTTGCTTTTTTGGCTTTCTTTTAAGCCATATTACAACAGACTGACCTGTACTGATACAACACAGCGCTTTTATATATTCTATGAATAATTTTCCCTGATAGCCAACCATCTCTAGTTTAAACATTGACATGATATTTTAATAACATTGTGACTAGCCAAAGAGCCTGCCTGCATAATCACTCCCTACTTTGGGACTGAGACTTTTTCAGCTGCTTGTTACTGAGCTGATTTAAATAATGCCTCAATTACTCTCGTTTTTTCTGCCTGGAGAATATTAAATCCCTGCTGCTGGTTCATTTTGAAAGCCTCGTGCACATCCGGCACAGGATCTCTGCCTCTTTCCAGGACTAACCTGTCCTTGAAAAAGGAGGATTATGCAGCTCGGTGCAAATTAGAGACAATATTCTGCCCAGCACTGAGATTGGAAAAAAAACCCTTCCCTTTCTTTTGTGCGGCTCCTTAAAGCTTTTGATTTACGGTTACAAAGCAGAGCTAATAACCCAGAGGCACAACTGCACTTGCTGTGTGGGACTTACCAGTTTATCTATCATGAGACTAGCTTGTGGTTGCTGCAGTTGGAATGCTTGAGCCATGTCAAGTTTTGGAGAGTGGGTGGGAATGGAAGAGGACAGGGAAAATATTTGTGTGGCTTCTTGGGGGTGGATGTCAGTGTTTAGGGCAATAGCAGACTGACAGCACTGTGCTGAGCTTAGGTAGACTCTGTGGGTTGAGAGGGTCCCAAAGCAAGCTAGGAAGTCTATACAGCCATGAAACAGCCCTGCAACCCAAGCCCACGAAGGAGTTGGCTGGCATAGCCCAGGCACAGATTTTATTTTGTAGTGTACACATGCCCTTAGTTTCCAACCATGGCTCTGTCAGTGCACCATGGTCCCACATCATCTTGATCTGCAGCTCAGTCCATTCAAGCAGCAGTTATCACCTGAGTACAGCATGCTGGTGATGCTGAATTGCTGTATGCAAGTGGCTTTGAGATGCACTGGTGGGAAACTATTTCACTGTTGAGGTGTGCTCTCTGTAGGCCTAGTGCTTGCACTCTGTGCACCTCACTAGCTCTTTATACTGCCAGGCTATGTCTACTCTGCCCTCATTTTGCACAAAAAGTATGCAAATGAGGCAAAGTGTGCAATATCACCATGCCTCATTTGCATAATTAATGAGGCTCCGTTTTTGTGCAAGAAGCTTTTGCGCAAGAGCCTTTCTTTCAAATTTTTTTTCCAGGAAGAACGGCTCTTGTGCAAGAGGCAGTTTTTGTGCACAAAGGAGCCGTGTAGATGGCTCCTTTTTGCGCAAAAGCCTCTTGCGCAAAAATGGAGCCTCGTGAATTATGCAAATGAGGCACAGCAATATTCCAGGCTTCACCTCATTTGCACTTTTGTGAAAGGAATCCATCTTGTTCCTCCCAGCCATGGCCTGAGCTCAGATGGTTCTTTTGCCTCTGTCCTGACCCAGCAGCTAGGAGCAACCATCTCTGTGACATCCTGCTTGCTGCTCTGTATTCATTGCTACAATAGAGCCCCTTCAAACTGCAGGCACAAGGTGAAGACCAGCTGAGGTCAGGAAGAAATGTATTATTTAAACAATGGTAGAGTGTAGAGGCCAGAGTCTCATTGCACTGTCCAAGCACAGAAGAAAGGCAGTCCCTGTCCTACAAAGCTTGCTATATATGTCTGTATATTTTGGTTAATCTCTAAGATGCCAAAGGACTACTCGTTTTTTACAGAATAACACGGCTACCCCGCAGAGATTTTTATCTATGTCTAAGACAAGAGACACCAGGAAGCACAAGGAAGCCATGAGGTGATTCTGATCAACACAATAAGCTGTGGTCAGAGTACATCCAGCTGCTACCCACTGTCCAGTTTTTTAATTATATGAGACCGAAAGAGTTTTAAGGAGGAATTAGAATGAAATCTCCCCTCCATAATTTAGTGAATGCATTAGGTTGTAATTCTTACATCTTCCTCTGAAGCATCTAGCATTAGCAGCTGCTGGAGTCAGGATAGCGGATTCAAGAGACATTTTTCTTCCCTGGCATGATGCT